CTGAATAATGCTATAAAGTCTTACAATGGTTAATTCCCATAAGGTTGTAACATTGGCTCAGTGGCTACTTATGTAGGGATTTATGTATGGTTTTGTGTATTCATCCCTATCTTGTTTCTGTACCTTTTGGCATTGCCAGCCCTAAATCATCCTTTTTTTTAATTACTTGTTTCCCCTCTTTTTTTAAACAATACCAATGAATATTTTATAATGAATGTCAGTCGCTATGAAGGCAGCAGTTTTAGCCTGGCGTGATGAGTTGTCTTGATGGACATCATGTTTTGAAGTTAGTGAAACGCTATACTGCTTCTACAATCCCGGTTACGCTACTCGCCAGTTTTCTACTTTAGCGATGTTTTGGGGCTAAACTGAAGGTCTTAATGACTTTTGAAAACCCAAGTTAGATGTTTATAAAAGTCTCTTAGATTGTCACAAGAGAGATTTGAGACTATGATGAGCAATACATAATATGCGTCGGCCATTTTTTTTCCACCTCATCCCTCCATAGTAGGCCCGGCATGGCCAGGTGGTTAGGGCGCTCGATTCGTAATCTGCGGGTCGCGGGTTCGAATCCCTGTCCCACCAAACATGCTCACCCTTTCAGCCGTGAGGGAGTTATAATGTGACGGCCAATCCCACTATTCGTTGGTAAAAGAGTAGCCCAAGAGTTGGCGGTGGGTGGTGATGACTAGCTGCCTTCCTTCTAGTCTTACTCTGCTAAATTAGGGACGGTTAGCGCAGATAGCCCTCGTGTAGCTTTGCACGAAATTTATAACAAACCAAACTCTAAATAGTAAGTACTACGGGGCCCGGCATGGCCAGGTGGTTAGGGCACTCGACTCGCAATCTGAGGGTCGCGGGTTCGAATCCCCGTCACACCAAACATGCTCGCCCTTTCAGCCGTGAGGGAGTTATAATGTGACGGCCAATCCCACTATTCGTTGGTAAAAGAGTAGCCCAAGAGTTGGCGGTGGGTGGTGATGACTAGCTGCCTTCCCTCTTGTCTTACTCTGTTAAATTAGGGACGGCTAGCGCAGATAGCCCTCGTGTAGCTTTGGGCGAAACTGAAAACAAAACAAGTACTACGGTGCTTAGTGATACTTGTTATATACATGTATATCTCTCTCCTTCGCCAACAGAATTATTATTTATGTTTAGTGTCGTAAATCTGTTTAGGGAATTTCGCGCAAAGTTACTCAAGGGCTATTTGCGCTAGCCGTCCCTAATTTATAAATAATAGACTAGAGGGAAGGCAGCTTGTCAACACCACCCACGGCCAACTCTTAGGCTACTCTATACCAACGAATAGTGGGATTGACCGTCACGTTGTAACGCTCCCACAGCTGAAAGGGCGAGCATGATAGCTGACGGGATTCGAACTCGCGACCCACAGATTGCGGTTCGAGTGCCCTAACTATCCGGCCATGCCAGGCTAAAGGTAAGAAGAAAAAATTATATTCGCTCTCTCGTCTGCACTGTTAATGATGCGATATTTTCAACTTTCTGGAGTAATAGTAAATAAACTGCCAACCTTTCTGTCACTGTTTTCTTGATGAACAGGTATGAATTATAAAACTACGGTTTGAACAAATGAGCCCATCAACACTTACCAATAATCAGGAGATTTTATCAACCCAACAGAAACACCTGGTAAGAAATGTCACAAAATTTAAATAACAAAATAACTCAACCCTTCATACTTCACTGTGTGGGCTTTAACAAAATAACTCAACCCTTCATACTTCACTGTGTGGGCTTTAACAAAATAACTCAACCCTTCATACTTCACTGTGTGGGCTTTAACCAAAATAACGCAACCCTTCATAACTCACTGTGTAGGCTTTAACAAAATAACTCAACCCTTCATACCTCACAGTGTAGGCTTTAACAAAATAACTCAACCCTTCATACCTCACTGTGTAGGCTTTAACAAAATGACTCAACCCTTCATAACTCACTGTGTAAGCTTTAACAAAATAACTCAATCCTTCATAACTCACTGTGTATATTCTAACAAAATAACTCAACCCTTCATAGCCCGCTACGTAAATCCAGCGCAAAAAAAAACCTGAACCTTCCTATCTCTAGCCTTAATCAACAAAATTATTAAAATAGAAACTGATCCCATACATTAAAGATATTGGCTCATTCTTTAAATGCAATATTAAACACTTTTCACACAACACACAAAAGACTTCGAAACTCCTTGATAGTATCGAGTACTGATAAATTACACGTGACAAGGTTTGAGTTTTGATGTAGTTTTTGCTGTCTAAACCATCATCACACATATTCTTTATTAAAAACTAAGTATTTGAACATTATTATATATTAAGCATTAAATATTTTCTTTCATTGTGATTTTATACATTCTAGTATAACTCTCAATCTACAGCTAGCCAAGACCTACAGTTCTGACATGCTGACTGCCATCACCCCGTGAAATTCGATGACGGATTTACTAATGACTGGGGCTGACGACACTTCTAGCTTTTATCAGCGCAGCTCTTGTCTGATATGAGCTACAATTTTCCGAGAAACAATTATATACCACGCGTTTCTATGACAGACTCACTCAGGCGTTTTACCTTTTCTTTTAGTAAAGTTTGTTTGTTTATTTGTTACACAATGAGCTCTTTGCTCTGCCCAACGCGGATATCGAAACCCGATTTTTAACGTTATAAGCTCACTGAATTCCCGAGGCTTTTCACTAAAGATCTATTCGATATTTAAAGGTGAAAGTAATACAGCTTAAGGTTGAACCTCAAATCGGTGTTTTTGTAATTTTTTATGTTAAAAAGTTCGGTTACAAAATATGATAGGTACAAAATCTGTGGTATTATGTAATTGTGTTAAGCGAGTGCGAAAACTATGCTTTAATAGCATAAACGTTTTTCCGATTTCGTTGCTAATGTGATAACGTTCAAAACTGTTTAAAATTATTATAGTTTTGCCTCTTATTTTTTACTGTGCAGATGGTGTAAAAATTAATTTTAGAAACGTAAATGCAGTTGGAGCAGGAAGAAAGCCTTGTTTAAGTGAGAATATGAGGTCTTAGACTGCTCTAAACTGAAACAAAATAGGGGGAGATAACTAACCTGGAAGGTCATCAAGTATGTAAGAGATTTGTTATGCCAGGTCAATAATAAAGATACAATATATAAGTACCATATTTAGATTATACCTAAAAATGTTCTTAAGATACTGTTTAGAGATGCAGATCTAAGCCTAACGAAGTGATTGTACAACTTTACAAATGTATTAGTTCCTTGTTCTCCAGCGCCAGATGTAATGGAGAAGTAAAACCTGAAAGACGAGTGTTTCACGACAGGTTTTTATGTGTGTAATGGACAAGTAAAACCTGAAAGACGAGTGTTTCACAACAGGTTTTTATGTGTGGTAAAACCTGAAAGACGAGTGTTTCACAACAGGTTTTTATGTGTGTAATGGACAAATAAAACCTAAAAGAAATATGTATCATATTTCTCATGATACTTAACGACCGTAATATGTGGTGATACACCATCTTCCTTGACCAAGGTGCAAGGTGGGTAACACCATGTTAGCTGACATGTATTGATAAAGGTGTTGCAGTGGCCGTAAAACATTCATAAACCATAATCTATTAGCTTCTAAAAAGAAAAAAGAAGCCCGATGCTGACACTGCTAGTAAACCCAACCCCTAGAATCAACTATCGTCATGAAGGGCCTGTCAACAAACGCATGTGGATTGGTCTCACCCCAAATAATGCAACTGTGGGTGTTGACCTGACAGATACGATGTAGTGACCTGCGCACGTTACACACAGTTTGCTGGGGTTGGCCAGTAGAGTTAGTCAACTTGATGTGTGCTGGATTCTCCTGGGGATTGCCTTGTAGGGTGACACTTGAGTTTCTGCGTAGTTCCTGCAGTCTTCAAATGTCGTATAGATACAACGTAGTGGCCTGCGCACTTTACACAGTTTTCTAGGGTTGGCCAGTAGAGTTAGCAACTTGATGTGTGCTGGATTCTCCTGGGGATTGCCTTGTAGGGTGACACTTGAGTTTCTGCGTAGTTCCTGCAGTCTTCAAATGTCGTATAGATACAACGTAGTGGCCTGCGCACTTTACACAGTTTTCTAGGGTTGGCCAGTAGATTTGGCAACTTGATGTGTGCTGGATTCTTTTTGGGATTGCCTTGTAGTTTCTTTACTTTCACTTTACACACAGTTTGCTGGGGTTAACCAGTAGAGTTAGCAACTTGATGTGTGCTGGATTCTCCTTGGGATTGCCTTGTAGGGTGACACTTGAGTTTCCACAGATGCACATGGATGTCCAGATCCTGTCTTCACTAATATATTGATGAAATTATGTAAGGCCCTTGGGCTACAAGACCTACATGAACAAAGGTGCCACAACCAAAGGCTCACTCAGGATTACTATATAGAAAAGTTCACAAGTGTTATCTTAAAGATAAACTATTCGCAGAGATCTAAGCATGTAAACTAATACAAGTGTACGCTTACATCTCAGAACAAATGTCAGACGTGACGTCACATAGCGTAGGTGGCAAAATCTGTAAATGCATTTCCCATGGTATTGTATGCACGCATACTTATTCCAGTAAGGTGTTATGGTTTGGGTATTATAAGCAACGGAATGCGTGAAATAAATTTACAGTAATGCCCAGTAACTCGTTTTCGAAATCTCTTTACGATTTCTCAACATAAACATTTCGTTCAAATACAAGATAAAAAAATTAGCCGACTTGTGTACCTGAAGTTCATAAAGTGGAACACAGGAAAAAAAAAAGTTCATTCACCTTTCAAATGTAATGCAACAGAAATCTCGAGTTTTTCTGGGAGCTAGTGAAATAAGCTTCTTGTTGTACTAGATTTATATCTCATTAAAATCTTGTATGTTTTGAAACTTGTAAGAAAACCCGCTTTCCTACATGCTGTTGAAGGCGATAGGTATCTATTTTGCCATTTCTATGCAATATTTGTTATAGAGAGTTTTGAACACGAGTTATCAGCCATTTCCTGGTTTCTTTCTTCAGCAAAATTACTCATAATATGAATATTACTATTCAGTTACTTCACTTACAATCTATTTGTTTTACACGAAAAGTCTTGTATTGCTCTAAACGATTTTACATGTACGTCTGTCTGTGATTTCGCATTCTAGTTTGTTTGTTTGTTTGAATTTCGCGCAAAGCTACACGAGGGCTATCTGCGCTAGCCGTCCCTAATTTAGCAGTGTGAGACTAGAGGGAAGGCAGCTAGTCATCATCACCCACCGCCAACTCTTGGACTACTTTTTTACAAACGAATAGTAGAATTGACCGTCACATTATAACGCCCCCCCCCCGACTGAAAGGGGCGAGCATGTTTGGTGGGACGGGGATTCGAACCCGCGACCCACGGTTTACCTGTCGAGCTCCCTAACCACCTGACCATGCCGGGCCTCGCATTCTAGTTTAGCCAAGTCCACAATACACTTACAATGAACCTAACGTGTGTTTCGACAAATTATTCGAAAGAAATACCAAATGTATGTTTGTGTGTGTGTGTGTGTTGTTGGGAAATTGTCACGATGCATGTTGGACATTTATAAACATTCTAGTGTAGTAAAGTTTTTAAAGTCATGAATTGTATTAAATGGAGTGGAAAACTGGTATAATAATAATAATGTGCTTTCTTGTAAGGAATAATTATAGTTTGAAAGGTTTCATTGGACTAATGGGTGAGCAAAATCAAAATATAGAATCATTGTTCATTTGTAAAGTAATAAAAACAATCTTGGAAGTGTAATTTTATGAACTCGAACCCCGAATCGCTATATTAAATTAATAGATAGCTTGCTCCATAGTTGCTTGCATACACGTTAATGATTTCCTTTCGTTCTATCGTATTATGTAACATTCGGGTTTCTTTTCCTATTTGTAACTAATGGAAATTTGGTGTGGTTCTATGGTGGATAAGAGATTTTATATAACGACTTCCTTCAAACAAAGCTGTTAAATACCTATATGGAAATGATCAATAATGTTGTATTAATGCACAAAAGATGAAGTATATGTATTTGAATATGTTGTGTATTTGTTCTCTCAGAATAAGAGGATTAAGGTAACTGAGTTAGAAATTGGGAATGGTAATTGATTCTTCGATATTTTTATTATTTATTGTAATTATTATAAAACTGTTTCGGAAAATGGGTAAGTTCTAACGTGTAAATGTATATATATTATTAAATATAAAAGTGTGGAGTGTTTGTTGTTTTTTGTGTTGTTTCATCTGTTTTAAAATAATTTTTTTCGTGATGTTATAGAACAAGTACTGCAGAAGTATAGTAAATAGGTTAATTCTCCTAACGCATCTCGGCATGTTTTGGTAATAAAAGTAGCCTGCAAATACACCCAACGATGGTAAAAAACATCAGTATACCCCAAATGGGCTAAACAGAAATTGAACAAGGTGCTACGACACAACGTATGTGTGTGTATATATATAAATATATATATGAAACAAAATCAGTTATAGGTGTTCAAAATAAAACATTCGCATACTTCAGTTTTCACACCAGATTGTTATATTGATACCAAGTTTTATTTGTACAGGCTTCTACAAAACTCAACACCTGAAAGTTCTACTACAAAATATTGTGGTTCGGAGGAGTGAAAGTCAAAGCATTTATTGAACTGAGAATATATAACAATTACTCGAGACCTAAGCAAGCTTTGAACTTTCCGCTACTGGAGATATGTGTAAATAGATAATATGACATATATATATTGGGGCCGTATGTGGCCTAGTATTTAGCATGCCGGACTGGGGATCCATGGTTCGCATCCCGCTGTCACAAAATCTCGCTCCGTAGATGTTTTGTAGTGACAGTCAAATCCTACTGTTCGTTTGGAGTAGCTGTCGGGTTATTCGTATGGGGCAGATTCTTTACGATAGGTGTTCTGTGACTCGTTGGAGATACATTTCAACAATAAACAAACAGCACACAATCCACTGGTTTTAAAATAACGTATCAAAACAAGTTAAACGTATATGCAAGTGTTCGTTACACTGTTGGTTATCACTGTTGTATTCATAGCTTTAAATAGTTGTCTCTTTTTCGTCAAAAGCCACGTAGGCTGATCCAATTACTTTAGAACACAATTTGACAAGACGAATTATTCTTCATGCTATGTTATTACAATAAAGTCTGTGATAACTTCGCTTTAAAATCACCACTATAAATGTCGGTTACCACAGTTGTATCGAGAGCTTTAAATAATTGTCTCATTTTCGTCAAAGTCCACAGAGGCTGGTTCATTTACTTTAGAACACAACTGACATGACAAATCATTTCTTCATTATTGTATTCACTCTGTTTTTATGGTAGCAGCATTCATGTTGACAGTCACTCTTGTCTTGTTTATTGCCAGCACCATCTTTGTAGGTAGCTTTAGCTGCTTTATGTTGATATTTATTGTTGCGTGTTGTTGACAGACACTCTTAATGTGCCCCATTATAAAACAAGCATAGCATCTCTTCTCCCATTAGTCGGTTGACTTCTTGACACCTTTGGTGGCATCCTGCTTCTGGTCAGCCATCCCTGTTTTCGACTTCAACTGGTTATTCTTGAACTTGCCAGTTATACTCTCATATACTGCCAGCTTGATCATCTCATCCACGTCTTTCAGTGCTCTCTCTCTCTCTCTTTTAGGAACAGTGACATGTCAGTGGAGCACATGATCTGAGCTGTTCACGTATTAGTAGATCATTCAAAATTATCTTCACACTTGCCCATGTCAGTCCACCTTGTGAAGTATCGCCATAGACGTGTCAGGTTTGACTTCTCTCAGTTCCAGTAAAAAACTTTTCTCGATAAGTTCATAGCATTTCAGCAAGGCCACGTTTAACTTGTCATGGTCTATGGCATCTTCTAGTGTCATGTCAGCATACACTTGTAGGCTTTTACCTGTGAGAAAGGGGCTGAGACAGACTGCACAGTCGCCTTTATCCCAGTTCTGACTTTGGACGAATCTTTCCTACCACACCAGGAAAGCATCAGTGTCGTCTTTCTGTTTATCAAAGTTGGGCAGCTTGAGTCGGCTGGCTCTGACCCCATTGTCATTTTTGGGTCATCTGTCTTTTTGTTGGCGATGAGCTTGGCGATCTCAATTTGTGCTGTGCTTTGATTCTCTCTATTTCCAGTCTCTCCTCTCTCCCCTTTTCTTCTTTCTCAATTTCTTACTCTCTTTTCTGTTGATGCACTTTTCTCTCTCTTCTTGTTGTTTAACAAACACTCGTAGATCACCATCTTTAAGCTCAAGTCACTCACCCCTCTATATTCACTTATCAAAGTCAGTTGACATAGTTATATAGCGTGGCTGTGACCTCTACAATATTTTCACCACCACTACAGCTGTGGGTATATAGAGGCCTATTTGCCACTGTTGTTCACGTATTCTTCTACTACAGTTTACCACTATAGATCCTGGCTGGCTCGTCACTGTCAGGATTTTTGTATGGGCTGAATTCTTTACAGTAGGTGTCTGTGACGTGTTGGCGATAAATTTCAGCAATAAACCAACTGCATATAATCCACTTGTTTGAAAATAATATATTCAAACAAGTCAAGCATATATACAAATGTTTATTACACTGTTGGTTATCAGAGTTGTATCCAGAGCTTTAAATAATTGTCTCTTTTTCGTCAAAGTCCACGAGACTGGTTCAGTTACTTTAAAACAAAATTTGACAAGACGAATTATTCTTCCTGCTCTATTATTACAATACAGTCTGTGATAATTTCGCTTTAAAATCGCCACTTTAACTGTTGGTTACCACAGTTGTATTGAGAGCTTTAAATCATTGTCTCTTTTATCGTCAAATTCCACATAGGTTGCTCCAATTACTTTATAACACTATTGACAAAACAAATAATTTTCTCTCTACTCTGTTATTACAATAAAAGTTGTGGTAATTTCACTTTAGAAATCGTCAATATACGCTCTTTATGGCTAACTCACGATCACGCAGTCTAGATCTGTTTCTCGAAATATATTTTCAACACGTATTCATACCCCAACAGAGAGAGGTATAGGATGTTCCACACACTACTAAATATTACGATGCAAAAATACTCAATGAGAAAAACTCAGAAGGTTCTAGTAACATGACGCAATAATATAACAATCACCAATTCGTAATTACTGAACTACACAATGTATGATTCGTTACTTAAACAAACTTGCGATAAACCATTGCTTCTAAAAATATCAAATTTAACACTCGCGTTAAATAAGCTATCTAAATCATAACACTCGCGTTAAAGTATTTTATTGTGGAATGTCTCATTTACTCCCGGAACGATGTGGTTGTTTGAGACATTTCACATGTATTTAGCATGTATCTAATCAGCAGCACCCACCACCGACTTTTATGCTACTATGAGATATACCCGATTGTTTCAATGTAAGTTTAATGCGAGTGTTATGATTTAGATAGCTTATTTAACGCGAGTGTTATGATTTAGATAGCTTATTTAACGCGAGTGTTATGATTTAGATAGCTTAAGTACCTATATCTCTCTCACTGGAAAATGTATATAACGTTTTTGATATGTGCTTTACTGTGAGGATTTATCGCTTTTCGTTCTGTAATGTTGGATGTTTGCAGCATGTGCCACAGGCTTTATGCAAACAATAAATACACCCTTCCTGGAAATCAGTTTATTAGATCTTCTTTGCCCAAAGGGGGTCGAAGATGATAACAGAATTATAGTTTAAGGTGTTTTAAGTTTAATACAATTTTCAATGTTAAAGAAACTTCTGGAAAGCGTCTTGACTATGAAAACAACAATACAACTAAAGATTACAAAATGAGATAACTTACGAAACTGATGAACAGTTCGATTCATGGTTTGTTAAGAGTTCAGAAAGTTTGGGCTTTAATATTATAAGCAAAAGAAGATAGATAGGCCTAACCCTATCACTTTTTATTTGTCATAATTTGAGTCGGCCTAAGCTTTAGTTACCTTAGAATTGCACCTATTTCACAGTTGCGTAGGATAAACAATCTCTTTATGATACGCGGAACAAAGCAATATTTCAGTGTCGTTGCCGTATTGTACTTAAAACTCTTAAGTATGCTTCCTACATGCCAAATGTTTTATTTGTCCGAAAAAAAATGTCGAGTTGTTATTTTTTTTATCTTAAAGCAGCTGTGATTCATCTGCCAGTCCAAAAATAATCCAACTTAAAGCCTTCTACATAACGATGTATCATAAAAATAATCCAACTTAAAGCCTTCTACATAACGATGTATCATAAAAATAATCCAATTGAAATCCTTCTACATAACGACGTATCATAAAAATAACCCAATTGAAAGCCTTCTACATAACGATGTATCATAAAAATAATCAAATTGAAATCCTGCTACATAATGATGTATCATAAAAATAATGAAATTGAAAGTCCTGGTATATAATGATGTATCATAAAAATAATCCAATTAAAATCCTGCTACATAATGATGTATCATAAAAATAATCCAATTGAAAGCCTTCTACATGACGATGTATCATAAATTCTACAAGTGATATCATAATTCCTATCATGTAAATACTGTTATTCCTATCCTGCTACATAATGATGTATCATAAAAATCATCCAATTGAAAGCCTTCTACATGACGATGTATCATAAATTCTACAAGTGATATCATTATTTCTATCATGTAAATACTGTTATTCCTATTTTGCATACATCAAATCTCAAGATGATCATATGCTCTAGTTAGTTATTCTCACTTGGTGTGTTACAAAAAAGTGATATAACCTTTTAGAAAATTCACACTCCTTTCTACCACATCTCACAACAACTGAACTTAAAAGAATAATATTATTATTCAAAATAACTATTGATATAAAGCACTAAATTGAAATTGTAATCATGATAACGACACATTATCACAATTACAAGATTTCAATATATTCACTACCAATAGCAAAGAGAATGTTGGTTTTATGGAACTCTAGTTATTCATTAATCCTATGTAGGCATTATTATAAATGCTAAAACAAATAACTAAAATTTTGTTTCTAAGACTAATATGGAACTTGACGACATTACCGTGTTTTTATCTACGTACTTCGGTTTGTTGTTCTTCTTCTCTCGGTTGTGATTTTAAAAATTCATCATTTTTCTTGCATCTATATGAAAACAGCATTTACAGTATCCTTTATTTAGAACTAGCGAAAGTACCCGGTTTCGCTCGGGTTATTAGGTTGATAGTGTGTGTATTCTGAACCCATTTTAGCATAACGTATGCACTTTTGTTGCTAAGGAACATGATATAAAAGCCATTGTTGGAAGGCATTGTTATCAAAACTCACTGGCTTTTCTCTATACTAGAAGTTGTTATGTAAGGAACCACTTCTTTTCTATGTCCAGTTTTACGTTCATTGGGATAATTTAATACTGCGTACTTTCAGCAAACGATAATTTAGGTAACGATTTATATTGGTACAAAATATAACGAATGTTTACAATATAAATTTTCTTATTTTGATGGTTTTTCTTAAAAAAAACTTGAATAATACAATCATACATAGTCTAACAGCGTGTGCAGTATTTTTCTTTAACATATACTAATTTTGTTCTTGTTAAATTGGCTGTCCTTTTATATTACCATAATATTGAAATTCGGTAGAATTTTGTGTTTATTTGTCTGTTTTTTTTTGTGTTACCGCCATATGTGCGAAACACCACATAGAAAAAAAAATGTGAGTGGCATAGCTCCAAGAGGAAAGAACCTAGAAACCTGAAATTTTGCAGCCATACTAAGTGGACCCTGAGTGTGTGCTCCTGGGTATTATTACTTGTCTACGCGCATGCGCGTTTGCACCCCTTTTATGCGAAAAACCACATAGAAAAGAAATGTGAGTGCCACAGCTCCAAGAGGAAAGAACATAGAAATCTGAAATTTTGCACCGATACTAAGAGGACATTTGGGGTGTGCACCTGGGTATTATTACTTATTCAAGTGCGTGCGCGCGTGCGCATCTTTCTAATAAGGCAAGCTAGCAAAAATCTACGTGTTACTTAACTTCAAAGTTAAAATCGCGGCATTAATATGTACGTGCATTTATTTTCATATTTTAGCCTGTCCTCGATGCTTCAAAACATTGCTGTTTTTATATGAAAATGCATTGAAAAGAAAAATTATTCTTATTCCAAAACACAAAATGTAGTTAAAGAAAACTAATTTGATTTCAGAAGATCGTTAGTCTGTCAAAAATGTGGCATTCTTTCTAACCTAAACATAAAGTTAAATTACAATTTAATTACATTAATACTAATAACGAAACCAAAAATATACCATATACTATGTTTATCACTTATACTCCTCTCCATTTGAATAACATTGAAATGAAATATTTTAAACTGAAGTTATCAACAATTCCTAAAAACACACATGAAAAAAAAACATCTTATATGTATGGAAAATAACAAAAATGTATCAGATGAAATTACTATTAAATCATAACTGAAACCATAGGAATCAATTTTCACTTTTCACATCAATACCTGTAATTTCCATTTCTTTTCTTGGAGCAGTTGTAATTATACATCCCACAATAGTGTAAGAAAGTGACAAAGGTTGAACTAGATCAGTAGTGTGCAGCGTAATATAAAACATTTAAGCTCAAGTCGCCTAATGCCTTCACCTGGCGAGGGCCCGGTATGGCCAGGTGGTTAGGGCGCTCGATTCGCAATCTGAGGGTCGTGGATTCGAATCCCCGTCCCACGAAACATGCCCGCCTTTTCAGCCGTGAGGGAGTTATAATGTGACGGTCAATCACACTATTCGTTGGTAAAAGAGTAGCCCAAGAGTTGGCTGTGGGTGGTGATGACTAGCTGCCTTCCCTCTAGTCTCACACTGCTAAATTAGGGACGGCTAGCGCAGATAACATTCGTGTAGCTTTGCGCGATATTCAAAACAAACAAACAAACAATCACCTGGTGAGACTGAAGTTTCGGGCTACATCAGCTCTCATTATTATAAATGGAGATTAAATCATTATACTTTCTCATCGTCTTAGTTAGGCTAATTTCAGTTTCAATAAAATAAGTGTGTGGTTTAAAAAAAAATATTTTCTCAAGTATTCCATTCGATGCGCACCTAGCGGCAAGTCAGAAAGCTTATAACGCAAAAACCGGGTTTCGATACCCGTGGTGAATACAGCCCATTGCGTAGCTTTGTGCTTAATAACAAACAAAAAAGGACATGTGTAACTGAAGAAAGTATGCAACCATGTATATTCTGTGTGTATCAAATCGTCCGAAAGCTCAATTTTTAACAGTAAATACTTATAATTACGGTTTTTGTTGGCAAAATGTTGAATTATATAAAACATAACAGTCTCGACTTCCATAAATTCAACAACTTATGGACTTCTGTATCACCAATAAGCGATGTCACAGTTTCTGCTCTGCTTATTGAAAAAATGTGGATCACAAATATGATTAACAATAACATTTGTAAAAACTTACACAAGAGTCATGTCATTCGTGATATATTTCTATTGTAAAGTTATATAATAACAACAGAGATACGATCAAAATTTTAAAGTTCCTGCTTTTGTTTCAGGGTGTATCAATCATACACACACACACACACTATCTGAAACACTGCTTGGGTTATTTATATCAGACAGTTTGATGTTTCCTGCCATACAGTTGCCACAAATAACCTAAATACGTCTGGTTAAGCCATGAATCTACAAATATGCTGGTTAACGTATGCTAATCTTTTGGTACAGTTATTGACTAGCAAGTCCTTCTGAGTAGTATTATCGTTTACAAGTCAGTACGTGCGGGCGCGTGATGGCCCTGTGGTTGAACTCTCAATTGCAGAGCTAGCAAGCAGAGTTCGAATCCGGAAAATACTCCCTGCTCTTTAAGCTGTAGGTGCGTTATAAAAATGAAAGTCAATCCCTTGGCGTAGATGGTGGAGTGATACTGATCGGCTACTTTCCCTCTGATTAGTAGTTCAAAATTAGGAACGGCGGCAGATTTTCTAAGTAGCTTTGTCATAAATACAAATACGAATACTACCAGTATTTAGATATAAGTCTGTTTGTTTGTTGTTTTTTTCCTAGGTTCAGCTCTGAAATTTACGTTTATCAAACATGGTCAAAAAGTTAGCGTGCCAGAATATAGACTTGCATTCGCGTCCATTTACCGAAAAAAATCGTTCTCCATATTTTGGGGCGTAGGTACATTATAAAGGTCACGGTAAAATCCCACTATTCGTTTAAACACAAGTAACCCAACAGTTCATGGAGGATACTGTTGACTAGCTGTCTTCCCTCTGGTCTATCAGTCTAAAATTAGGGGCGGCTAACATAAATAACCTTTGAGTAGCTTTGCACGAATATCCA